ATAGTAATTTGCCACTATTATGCGGGATTAAAATACATATTCTATAAAGCTCGGATGAAGCAACGAACTTCACCGTTAGATTCGTATCACAAAATTGAGTTGCTATGTCAAATTCTGAGATAGTCAGATTTTACACATTTTTCGAGACGATTGGGTGACGAATGAACTTTTAAAGGTCCCCAAAAAACAAAAATTATAAAATTTTCTTATAATTGAATAAAATTTCAAATAAAATTAATTTGAACTAAAACTGGAATTTAATTAAGTCATTTTGGGTTAAAAACGAATAAAAATAGAAATAGCACCCCAATCTACTCACCCAACAAACTGAAAATTATGTTGTATACTCTCCAAATGTAAATTGTCTTAATGCCGAAATGTAATGTACTAATGACTGTCTTAACTCCGGAAAAATGATTGATACATAATAGTAATGAGCCTGAATTTATATAGACAAAATGATGCTATTCCAGATAGGTACCATGTAAAAAGACACAACCCAGAAGACACACATATAGTCAGAAGACACCAACATATAACTGTTCTCTATGAATAGACCCTACTCAAAATTTCGAACTAGAAGGAAGACAAAATCCGAACCAATGCGAATTCAAATCCAACGGGTACTGAAACTAAATTTTTTTTCCAAAAAGATAAGGTTTACTCTAAATCACACACGAGCCCAGCCCGACTGGACGGTGCGCGTGTGTGGTTGACCCGAAGGCCTGTAGGCGCTCGCTCCGCTCATAAAATTGTGGTACCCCTGAGGCCTAATCCCATAGAGCAAACTAAGTTTATATATACTCATGTAGAACTTCTTCCTCAACTAATGTGAGATTGATGTCAAATCTCACATTGCACAACCTCTATTTTCACATTCCAAAAGAATTACTTTAGAATATATTTCCTCATTCATCCCTTACTCGATTTGAGCAAGAGAATATACTATATTATTCTCTTCATGCAGTAGAACGCGAACCCACGAAAATTTACTCGAAACAACGAACAGATCTCACTTTAATTTAGGTTCAAATTCGACAAAAAATTCAGTTTTTACATTTAAAACCTGTTTTGGTCCAACACATGGTGCCAACCAGCAGATAAAAATGCATATGAAGGATTTCATGCTGCATTATAAATAGAATCAATATATGTCCATAACTGCATATACAGTTGACAAAGAAAAATGCATGGATACATAGTAACAAAAAGAAAAATGCATGGATACACAGTAAATGGGTTCTGTAAGTCAGCACAGCACTGGTATAAACTATGTCGATATGGATCTTTTTCTTAAGTATTTCATGCACCTTCCTATGCGTTGTGTGATTTCACACGAATATATAAGCTTCTAATCCAAGTTCTCTAATGACTTTTTCTCGCTTGCGTGTTTGCATGGTAACTGACAAGGTGCTCCAAATGCCAAAGCCATTCATTCATCTAAAGCTGTATGTGAACCTCCATTCTTTCTTGCTTCAGCTGTCTTTTTCTCATCATTATAGCACCAAGAGCAGAGCAGAAGTGGGTGTAATGAATGATTTCCTCTTCATAATCAGCAACGCCTAAACAGATCCAAATGGCTTGCACCGATCTATATAGCATTTTGTCAGGATACAATGAACTGATATGTTTTCTATGACGTGCGGGTTCAAGTAGATAATTCATTATTCTTTAGTATCTGTTTGGTTACGAACAAAAAAATGATGGAAAGTAAAAATGATAACAAGTGAAGTGAAAGAAAAAAAAATGATAAAAAATATATTTTTATGCATGTATTTAGTTAGAATGAAAAATTTACAAGAATTTTTTTTTTAAAAATATTTTATTATTTGAAATAACGTTACAAGAAATTTTTTATAATTGTCTAAATTATCCTTAATTATATTAAATTGGTCTAAAAAGAAAAAAAAATGTAATTACAATTGAATATTAATTTTTTTTTTTTAAAAAGTGACTCGAAACTTAATTTTAAGACAACCTCCGACACAAAGATTTTTGGGTCAAATATTATATGATTAATAAAATTCATACCAAAATTTTTTTAAATTAATAATTAATAAAATATTTTAAACAAAATAAGTGTAAAATAGGAAGTTAACTATATATCACATTTTTTTTTGCATTTTCTGGTGTTTTTTACAAAAAAAAAAAAAATTAGTTATTTGTGAGAAAATTCAAGCATGAAAGAAAATTATTTTTTCTTTTATTTTTCTTTTCATGCTTACCAAATACATTAAAATTTTAAAAAATTTCTCTTGTATTTTCTACTATTCTTCCACTAAACAAACGAACCGTTAGGATTTGTTCGCTCGAGACATCTAGAGAACAGAGGCCACAATTTTTAAGTAAAATAGCTATGGACATTGTACATAAAGTTCATATTGACCAAGTATTCCATTGACTAGATCCATCGCATTATTTAAAAAGTATGTATTCCATTGACTAGGTCAAACAACACAATCTGACACATCTTCAGCATATTTTTGCCACCGGCAAAAATTCAACACCCTAAAATCAAGGGCAGTGCTCAGGGAGGATTGAGCTTTGCTTTGACTTGGTTGAATACTTTCTTTAGTTTAATAATTATTATTTCAGATTGAGACTTGACTTTAATCAAACAAAAGAAGCGTCCTCAGCGTAATACCCAATCCCCAGGATAGCATAAATTCAGGGGTGGCTTGATATGTTTTGAGGCCTAAGGGATAAATTTGATTAAAATTATTTTAAATTTTTTTAATAATAATGTAAATTTTTTAATATTTTTTTTTTTCCGGATGCATATTAATTGTTTAATATTTGTATTGAAATTTTTCTAACATATTTTTTGTTATTGATGGTATAACTAATTGACTTATTTTTAAATAAAATAAAAAATTTCAAAACTTTCAAATTCAAATATTATTTGACAAATTATGTTATCTCGTCATTGACGCTCTTATAAAAATATTTTTCTATGAATTAGAGATTTCTCATAGAATATATGTTTGATTAGGTTTTTTAAATTATTATTAAAAAATATAATATTATATGGACTTTATTTAGTGACTTTATTTGACGATTTTATTATTTTTTGTTATTAGATAGATAGTGGACTCTATTATTAATTGGGACCCACTATTAATTCCATAGTTATGATTCATTATGTCACCAGATAAGATTACTAAATTCAGTACAAAATTTTTTTTTTCCTTATAAAATGTTATTGTGTGAGATTAATGAACTAAATTTTTGGGCCTAAAATTAATCTAGAGTTTTTTGGTTGGTTTAGGCCTTCATATGAGCTTTCTTAATGAGTTAAAATTGACTTGGGTTATATTTGCTGACTTTTTAAATTTTAGGGCCGCCCTTTTTATTTGTGGGATCTAAAGCGACTGCTTCATTTTCTCCTGTATTGGGCCCGCCTTGCATAAATTTTAGTGTTTATTTTAATTCATACAACCGGGATTAGTGTATTGTAGACACGCTTTAGAGCTCCTTCTATACGTTTTGAAAAAGAAAAACCAAATAAAAAAAAAAGGGAGAATCTAGAACAATATAAAACTAATGTTATCTTTCCCACCTAATAAAACTGTTTTTCTCTTTCCAATACCATTAGATATATATATTGTTGACATTTGCCGCTCATTTGTCAAGGCACAATATCAAAAAATATTTCTTCATTATTTTACCTCCAAAACACTAATTTCAAGAAGTTAAAAACTTAAGTCGCAATTGTTTAAGGCGATTAGGATCGATTTCAATGTTTTAAAATCAATTTTAAAATTTTAGAATCGATATCAAACACCCTAAAACATTATAACTTTATTCAAAAACAAATGTAATTAAACCCCAAAAGTTAGTATCAAATCAATATGATAATATTTCCCTTCTCTCTAACATGTTGCATGGTTTACCCAATAGAATAGAGCAATTTGATGATCAAGATGAGAAAAGAAAAAAAAACATTATTACTGGCTACAAAACAAACAGTACATACCAGTTGAGCATGTTTGATTTGATTCGGTTATTTTAGTACCTATTCCGCAGTGAGTCCTGACGAAGTCTAAGCCCGCCACTGCATTGACAAGTTCGGCGCATTTTTCAATCGCATGGTTGATAAGTCTTCAACCACTCTACTCTTTATTTAACCAAAATGCCGTCCGGAAATGTGTCATATTGCAGAAAAATGTGGGGTGGCTCTTGGTTTCAACGCCAATGCATTGGAAAGTTTCAAATATGTCAAGTTCTAATTAATTTAGTTGTTAAAATTTAAGTCTGACACAATTAATGCCATTAAACTTTAACTGAGTTACAATTCAGACCTCCTATCTAAAGTTGTTCGTTTGATACAACAAAAATAGCCCCGTGACAAACACGTGACTTGTATAGAGGAGTATGCTTGTTAACATTGGAATATGTCTTGATTCCAAATCTTCTTGGTCTCGGTAGCTATCAATCTTCCATTTGTTTTGTTCTTTCCTTCATATCAGATTAGCCAAGAATGATAATGGTTAATAAGCAAAGGGTTGTAATCATAAGTACATATTTGAATAAGTACCCTTTCAATAGTCGGAATATTTGAATTAAAACTTAAGAAGTTTTGTGTTCAGATTTTAATTTTATGAACCAAATTGAACTTGAGCCGTAATTGAAGCGTGTAAATGAGAAATTGTCCAAGTTTCAAGTGTACCCATGACACCTCCCTTTGTGTTTTAGCATACTGCATGTTGACTATTTCTTAGACTACACAAAATGTTAGGGGAACATCATTGTCCAGTTGTTAAACAGAAAATGATTGATTTTCTATTTAAACTAAGAGAGTTGCTAAAAGGTTGGAAGCTTCCCAAACTATTAAACAAATGTTTTAGGGATTGAAAGGATCACTATATAAAGAGCCAGCCTCCCCTTTGTACAATCATCCACAACTAGTTTTCTATTGCATAAAAGCTTAGTAGTCCTAAGAGAATTGCCAAGAATGGCCATTTCTTGGCCTCGAGTGCTATATGCTTTTGCAATTTGTTTCATAGCCACAAATGTAGCAGCCGACCATGAGCCATACTATTATGCATCTCCACCATCCCCACCTCCTTACTATTACAAGTCACCACCACAGTGGTCACCCTCACCTCCACCACCATACTACTACAACTCGCCTCCTCCTCCATCACCATCCCCTCCCCCATATTACTACAAGTCACCACCACCACCATCTCCATCACCACCACCTCCATACTATTACAAGTCCCCTCCTCCCCCATCACCTTCTCCCCCACCTCCCTATTATTATAAATCACCACCATCGCCATCTTCCTCTCCTCCTCCTCCTTACTATTATAAGTCACCACCCCCACCTTCCCCATCACCCCCGCCTCCTTACATGTACAAATCACCACCTCCTCCATCTCCATCGCCACCTCCTCCTTACATGTACAAATCACCACCACCGCCATCTCCCTTTCCTCCACCACCCTATTACTATAAGTCACCACCACCTCCATCTCCTTCACCACCACCTCCTTACATCTACAAATCTCCACCACCACCATCACCATCTCCTCCACCACCGTACTATTACAAATCTCCTCCACCACCATCACCATCACCTCCTCCGCCCTATTATTACACGTCACCACCACCACCACCACCATCTCCATCACCACCACCTCCATACTATTACAAGTCCCCTCCTCCCCCATCACCTTCTCCCCCACCTCCCTATTATTATAAATCACCACCACCGCCATCTTCCTCTCCTCCGCCTCCTTACTATTATAAGTCACCACCCCCACCTTCGCCATCACCCCCACCTCCTTACATGTACAAGTCCCCACCTCCTCCATCTCCATCACCTCCTCCTCCTTACATGTACAAATCACCACCACCACCTTCTCCTTCTCCTCCACCACCCTATTACTATAATTCACCACCACCTCCTTATATCTACAAGTCTCCACCACCACCATCACCATCTCCTCCACCACTGTACTATTACAAATCTCCTCCACCACCGTCTCCATCCCCTCCACCGCCATACTACTACAAGTCTCCTCCACCACCATCACCCTCACCTCCTCCTCCTTACTACTATAAATCACCACCTCCACCATCTCCATCCCCGCCCCCTCCATATTACTACAAATCACCACCACCTCCTTCTCCGTCACCCCCACCACCTTACTATTACATGTCCCCACCACCACCTTCCCCATCACCTCCACCACCATATTACTACAAATCACCACCACCGCCCTCACCATATCCTCCTCCTCCATACTACTACACTTCTCCTCCTCCTCCTAAGCCTTATTAATAAGGAAACGGATTTATCTAAACGTGTCATGTAAGTTTGGTAAATAAATACTGCTTTTTCTTATCTCTTATTGTGAACATCTTCTGATTGAAACTAACGTTGTTTTGCAGCTCATATATTGCTTCATAATGCAACAACAAACAGTCGAATGTTTTCAAGGGGAGGCAATTATGATAATTTATAGTCAAACAACACAACTAGTTGGAGAATAAAAAATAATGACCATTATGTTTTTATTAGGAAGACATGTACTACACTCGTTTATTCAAATATTTTTATTCAATTTCTCATATTGGACCTTATATATGTTCAACCACTCAGATGTTGATCAAATTAGAGTAGTAAAGACCTTTGTCACAAATAGATTACTTGGTTTCTTTTTTTGTGATCATTTCTAACTTTTTCTAAGAGGGAGGAAAGTTAATATGAATTTCGACAATGAGAATCATTAAATGAAGCACAACTGTCATTGAGCATTTCACAATGGTTTGAGTAGTAGCAGAGGGAAAAGCCAGAGAAATAAAAATTATGTAGGATAACTTGAAACAATTTTGGCTGATTTTCTATTTGTTTTAACGGAGACAACATGGAAGGGGATGATTACAATTGTATACATTGTTGAAGGACTAAATTGAGATGATTACAATCTTTTGAAAAACATGAAGCGGACTGTTAACGAACCTACATAGATGTACTCCAGGCCCACTTCTTCTCCAACAGATAAGCAATCTAATCTTCTTGTTGTAGATCAAATCTTGTATCAATATACTAGTAAATGTCTGTGCCTTAAGGCACTATGTAACGAAAAAAACTCAATAATTATAGAAAATGAGCATTAGCAAAAGCAAAAGTGACACATAATGAGACTGACCCAACATTCGAATCACAATAATCAAACTTCTTTTCTAAGTCACAAAATTTATTGCAACAAACACCAAAAAAATTTTATTTGATTTCTCAAATCTACAGTAATTGTCCTAAAGCACAAATATTTTTTCTTGCAACAATAGCCAAAAATTGTTTTTACAGGAAGTGAAAACTAAAGAACAAACACCAAAAACCTTTATAGACTAAACATTACACGACAAAAACAAAGAATAAAATTCTTTTACCAAGATTGCAAAAGAAAGAATAAAAACCTTCCATGACAACAACATAATACGGAAAACACTTGAGCCTTTGCAAAAAGTGTTGTTTTATATTTATCGCCTCCACCTTTTTCCTCGTAAGTTGAGGTCTAGGTGGTCAAGCCCATTTATTGTCAGACAAGTGTTTTCGCATGGGACTATAGAGATTTAAAACCCTAAGAACGGCAATTTATTTAAGGTTAATGGTCAAAGGTTATGGAATCCATAGAGCTAGTGGATCCACAATACACTAATTAGACGGCATGCAATGTTGTGTTGTATAGTAGGTTGTTTTATTTTACTAATTAATTTTTGTTTAAAAAGTTTTTTTTAGGCATTTTAACAATTGTTACGGCACCAAGTATTTCTACTCCTTAAATCTTTATTAATTATTTTGATCATTTCAAGCTTTATTTTTACATTGAGGACAATGTGAGATTTATGCTAGGGGTGTAGTATATATTTTGTGTGTTGCAACAATTTTGTTTTGTTTTATTAAATTTATTATATTTGTTGGAATTTATTTTTATTGTTTTGTAAGTAAGTTAAATACCTTAAACCTTTTAGGTTTCCCCAAAAAAAAAAGAGCAATGCTATTGGGACATAATTTATGGACATAATTGAAGGACATAATGAGTTGTCACCAATGATATGATAATAAATTCATTAATGTTACAATGTGACCCATCATTAAATACATTTCACTATCAAATCATTGGTGACAACTCATTATGTCCCCAAATTATATCCTTCAACTATGTCCCAATAGCATTATTGAAAAAAAAAATATTTCGAATGTTGATCCATTGGAGTCCAATGACTCAATTTTTGACCAAAAACTCGTCATTCTAGAGACTTGGTTTAGACCCATGTAAAGGATCAAAATTCCAAAAAGTTGGATCTGTCCAGACGCACTGTTCAAATTCTACGAACTTTAGTGAGTGCATCCGGACGCAACCACACCATCCGGACGTGCCTCCCAAGTTATAAAAACACGTATTCTTCCTCCAAAGGCCTGCAACTCTCCTAAACCCTCGAAAAAATGAAACTCTTCACCTCTTCTTAGTTTTCTTCAAAACCTTCATTTTTTCACCCCAAATTTTGCCTAAATCACTCAAATCATTCTCTCCTAAGATACCATTCAAACACCTTTTTAAGGAGATTCATCAAAGAATCTCCTTCCACCTTCAATGGCTCCCAAGAGGATGGTTTCTGAAAGGGTTGAATCAAGTGCCCAAGGATCGCAAAGGCGTGTGCCTGGAGTAGATATTGATGAGCAAGGGGTGAGGCATATCTTTGATCCGAACTTGTTTCCATCTCTCGAAAAAAGCAACAGGTTCACTCTCTATTTCTCTAATAGACGCATTGTTATCAACAGAAGTGTTTTATTGGATAATTTTGTTATATTTGGGGTTAAACAAATTATTGAGAGTAGGGTATGGGGGAATTGTATGAAGTGTGTTCATGGAATTTTATTGTAATGAGGAAAAAATAGTGTAGAAACTAAAAAATTTAATTAACAAATTAATGTCTATAATTGGACTCAAATCAATTAGATAAATGAAATTGGATTGAAACTAAATTTCATAAGCCCAAATGATATAAGTGTCAATGTAATTAAATAACCTTGAGTTGGACCTAAATTCTACGGCCCAAATAATAGAAGCCAAAATATAATTAACAAGACTTGCTAAATTAAATGGACTTAAATTCCATAAGTCCAAATTAAACAAATATTTAAAAAGTTGGACTTAAACTCCATAAATTAACTAAAGCCTACAAATTTATGGGTAGCCCATTATCGAAAGTCCACACAAGGGTATTCAGGTAAAATACCTTTATGTAGATAACTACTCCTACCACTATAAATCGAGGTCTGGAGTAGGCCAAAAAGGGGAAAGAAAAGGGAGAATAAGCTAAGGAGAAAGGAAGATCGACGAATCTCTGCTCGAAGTTCACTAAAGCCTTAAAGCCTTGCAAGTTCATCTCCAAGAAGAAGAACACACTGTCAAGGTCCTTCTTCAAGAAATCAAAATCATCTTCAAGTCATTCCAAACGAAGAACGGTGAGGAGATTCATCAAAAGCATCATCAAGTTGAAGAGCGGGAAATACATTGATCCAGCTCTCGTTTTCAACAAAGCCACCAATTGAAGAGTGAGAAATACGTCAATCCGGCCCTCATCTTTACCAAATTCATCAAATTCATCGAGAATCAGAGGACAGTGCACATGAGAAGCACGCCAAAGAGAGTTAACACTACATTTTTTTTACTTAAAGTCAATCAAATTGACTATTGTAACTTGACCTTATTTTGTGTTAATTCATTTCACGAAATTCCCCAAAGTTTCAACAGTTTGATGGGAAAAACAACCCAAAATAGCATGTTGCTCATTTCATTGAAACATGCAATCATGCCGGTACCTATGGCGACCTGATGGTGAAACAATTTGTGCGTTCCCTCAGAGGGGCTGCGTTTGACTAGTACACTAATCTAACAGTTGGGACCGTTGATGGTTGGGACCAACTTGAACGAGAGTTTCTCACTCGTTTCTACAGTACTCGACGTATGGTAAGCCTTCCTGAACTTGTAGGAACAAAGCAAAAAAAAGACGAAGCTATCATTGATTACATTGAACACTGGAGGAGTCTTGTTCTCAATTGTAAGAAACGCATTAGTGAAGCCTATTCGATTAATATGTGTGTCCAAGGAATGCATTGGGACTACTCTACAGTCTCTAAGGAAATATGCCTCATACGTTTGAAAAATTTGCAACACGAGTCCATGACTTAGAAATTCAAATTTTCAAGCACGGAAATTACTTTCTCAGTGACCCTCGTGAAAAGAGAGACGTAAAGAAAAATGTGAAAGCCTCCAAATCAAAAGAGTCTTTGGCAATCTCCACTACACTGGTGAAGATTTTTGATAAAAAATCAAAGACAGACTTCCAAGTCAATTTTAATCAAGATCAGACTCAAAAGAAGACAAGACCAAGTTTGAAAAAACTTGAAGAGAAGAAATATTCCTTCACTGATGATGAAGAGTCAGATATTTTTGATCAACTACTCGAGTTGAAACTTATCGAGCTTCCAACACCCAAGCTGTCAGAAGAATCGTGAAGGGTTGATAATCCGAAGTATTGTAAATATCATCGGATTATTAGTCATCCCCTTGAAAGATGTTTTATCTTAAAGGAAGAGATTCTTTGTTTATTGAATAAGAAAAAAATTAAACTCGATTCTAGCAAAGAAATGGTAGCTGCAAATGTGACAATGGTCACTTTTGGGTCCTTTAACCCTATACCAATTTCAAACAAAGGAACACAATCATCACCGCTAATACATCCTAAAACACCATCACAACCGTTGAATTCTTTTATCTCTGCAAAAGAAACATCGTCAACCAAAAGTAAAGAACTTACCGTTCCTCTTCCTGAAGGAGCTGTGCAAGTATAGTTAATTGTTGATAATGAGATAACGACGGTATATGCATACCCAGATATGTCAAGGCATAAAAATCCAAATATTCCAATGCTTTATAAACTCATGACAGATGATCTAGATGTTTGGGCATCATCATCTAAATCACAAGACGAGATCAGGGATGGTTGGTCAACCTTTGTCAGCAAAAAGGATAAATATTAAACCTTGATTACTAACACACAGTCATCTAATCTATTAGGCGACTCAGAGCTCATGTCAGGAGCACCTATTTTGGATCTCAAACCAAGTGGGTGGCCTCCTTTGGATGATTTTGTGGCTACAGAAGAAGATTTGGGGGAATGGACTATGGTTAAACCTCAGAGATTGAATAAGCTACAACATTCATATCCTCTA